GAAAGGCGTGGGCACAGGGACGGGGAGCACCCTCCTGCCCACGCTGCGCGGGCTGCCTGCGGTCCTGCCCGCTCGCCGGCACATCCAGCCCAGCTAATAAGCAGGTTAGCGGCGTCTCGGCCTCCCCGCCTGGGTGGGGAGGATTTTTCCGGCACTGACGGTTTGCAACTGAGGCACAAGAAAGCAGATGGGAACAAGCAGGTGGTTTTTATCCCCATGAACTAAGCAATCTCATTTCACTTGGAAAATGCGTTAATTTTCCTGCTGTTTCTCCCTGCCCTTCATTTTTCCTCACCTTGTTTCGCACTACGACAGCGAAGGAGAGACCTGCAGGAGTTGGGCAGTTGTAATGGGGGATGTTAGGTCTAGTAGGAAATTGGGTCCATCTCTGTCTCATCTCTGCTGGAAAAATATCTCAATTTCTTTAGCTTTGCTGATTAAATTTTAATTACCTTGAATGCAAACGATTTATCAAAGCAACACAGATTATTTTTTTTTAAGAAGCTCATGCGTAGCCTGGGAAGCGGAGTGTTTACCGAGGTGTTCCTCTGAGGACGGTCTGCTCAGTGTAAGGCAAAGCGTTTGGGCAGAGGCAAGGAAAAAAATACCTTTGATTTTTCCCATATAGCTTCCACCCCCGTGCAAGATCTCTTGACAGCATCGTGCAGCCAATTTTACAAGTGACTTACATTTTCCTGGTTTTGGGGTTTGCAAACCCATCACCGGGAATCACCTGGACTGGGGAAAAATGGGGCCTTTGCTGGTTTTCCATATTCTTTGTGTAACTTCGTGTGCTGGGAGATCTGACTGCAAAACCCTTCCCGGAGCCAGGGAGACCGAAGCGGAGGTGTTCACACTGTGCTCGCCATGCCTCTTCCTTTTATTTGGGCTGGTTTAGTTTCTTTACCTCGTTTGTCTTTCTTGAAGGTGCCTCTTTCAGCCCCGAGCAGGACGTGCTGGGCAGCCAGCAGCGTGAGCAGGGCTGATGCGAGCTATCTGCTCCCCCAAAATTAGAGGGAACGGCAATGCGGAAACCTCAACTTCGAGCATAAGAAGGCAGCCTGGGCTAAAAAAAGAGCACCTCAGCTTTGTGTCCCGATGGATTGAAAGCGGGTAAATGGGTCAGCATCGCTGAGCAGGGGTCGTTACTGCCGTGGCTTTTGCTTACCGCAAGCCCAGGGGACCCCAGTGCCACAACTGGTCCCGCTGGGTCAGGGCTTTGAGGACAGAGGGACAAGGGCTGTGCCGCACAGTGCTCCCCGTTAAAGCACCTGGAATCAAAAAATGAAATAAATGATTCTGTGTTTCCTACCCTTCCCACAAAACCCCATGTGCAGTGCTTTGGAAGCCACCAGAGGACCATGGGTTGACCCTGTACTGGTTGTCCAACGTCTCCCCAGCCTCTTGCACGGGTATGAGATGGTTGTGGGCAGCCAACCTGGCTGCCAACCTCAGCCCAGGGAACGTGGCCATGGCTCACTCCCAGCACCAGCACAAGGGTGCTGCTCCCCACGGGCACGGCACCCACTGGGCGAGGGGCAGCCGGGCATCCTGCCCTGGGATCCAGACGCTCCCAATGGCAGATAAAAGGGACGGCGCTGGCTGCCCGCCCGTGGAAAGTCCCAGCTCGCTCCTCGCCGCCCGATCTTCTCACCTCGAGCTGTCTGCAGTCGTCTTTTGCCCGATTAGCATAAGCAAAGCTAAGCTGGCTTGATGCTGTCTGCAAGCTCTTTTTCGATGACACCAAGCATTTGAGGCTGTTTTTAATCACAGAATCACAGAATCACAGAATAGTAGGGGTTGGAAGGGACCTCTGTGGGTCATCTAGTCCAACCCCCTGCCCAAGCAGGGTCACCCAGAGCAGGCTGCACAGGACCTTGTCCAGGCGGGTCTTGAATATCTCCAGAGAAGGAGACTCCACAGCCTCCCTGGGCAGCCTGGGCCAGGGCTCCGTCACCCTCAGAGGGAAGAAGTTCTTCCTCATGTTCAGACGGAAAAATGGAGGAAGGATCTTTGGGTTCTGATGCCGACGCTTTGCTCAGTTTCCTGATTTGTGTCTTTGGATGTGAAATGGGAGGGGGAGGACC